TTAGTTTCTTGAATACATAAGATATTAATTTTCTTTTGAATCATAATATCAACTAATTCCATTAATTACCATTTAGAGTACCTATATTCCAAGATCCTATCCTAATATTAGTTTGATTAGTTTCATGAACTAACTTATTTATCCGCATAACTTAAATTTGAACCCTTGCTTATTTAACACTACACACGGGCGCTGGTGTAGCGGCCCTTGCACACTTTTCACTTTATTCAGGCTATACAGCGCGTCGCTTCTAGGGGACGCCTTAGCACTTACACAATTCGTTCCAAGTAATAGAAACAAAATTGAAAATCTCCACTGCAGATCTATTCAGATAAGATGCTGACAATGTAAATCTTTTATTGGCATATCCATAAATAAGAAATTATTTCCAAAAGGATCTTTAGCATATATCAACAAATAAGTATTTGTCCCGGAAAAAAGGACCCATAAAAAAAAAAAAAAAATCAATCCAAGAAGGCAGACAAGCGGACTGAAATGAAGTGATGAATCAGTGACACCAGAAAACTTCCCAACTTCGATGGGTGTAAGAGAAATATTCCAAAGATAGGATCTCCATCGACGTAAGGAAAGATAGCAGATATATATGAGCTATTTCCTTTCTTCCCACCCACAGAAACTGAAAATTGTATGTTTAATGTGCTGAGGTTACCATTTAAAGAAATTTACAAAAGCTTAATCTTAATATTTGCCGGATCACCAGCTTGATAAGTGACTTTATCATCCAGCCAACCGACAGCAAAGCAAGGATTAGGTATTTTAACTCGCAAACCTCTCTGAGATGTAGAGTGATGTGCCGCTGTTGGAACTGGAAGCAAAAATTAAGCGTTCAAACCATAATATAATAGAACATAATACCTCCATTTCTGCCAAACTTTTGGATATACTAAACCCTTTGCGTTGTTTCTCGTAGGAACGAAGCAGAGGGTGAGAAAGATTGGACTTTCAAAATTGTTCTTCCGAACACTACCATTCCTTTTGCTGCCTTCAAGCTAGCGTGCGGCTGTCTGCTAGAGTTTCGGACAGGAGGAAAGGCAGGGAATCATGTCTATCTATTTTAGTTTCTAAGGATGTCTTCGCATATTGCGATTTCATCGTTGTTTTTCTCTCTTGCTCTAGTTGCGACTGTATTGCCCGAACAGGGAAGAATGACGAGACTTTCGGTCCCGGGTCGTGTAGTGGAGATGGGAAATGGGGAGTTTGAACTAGTGGACAGAAGGATTCCTTCATGAGTTTGCAACGGAGAAGCGCATGAACAATTTTTTGAAACCGAGAGAGGGAGTAGTTATGGGTTTTAATATAATTTTTTTTTTAAACAGTCAACAATGGCGAGGCTCATTGGTCAATTGTCTAAATTGCGCCCAAATTGCACTTTTGGGTGAGCGGTATTATGATCCTTCTGATTGTTGCAACATGGAAGTCCTTTCTTTTAAGCTATTTTTTTAGGTATATAAGGGAATGGGTTGTTTGAAAATTTCAAAAATGCGACAGGTGTGTTTCTACAGTGATTATTCCCATTTGATATATTAGTACAAGAGCCCACAAATAAGTTGAGACTTGAGAGACATCGACTTGCAGAAACATAAAAAGTTTTTTACATAATGAGACTTGTTTATAGAAAGTAAAATTAAAATAGTTGTTCAATGTTTATAAATTATGCATAAAATATAAGTGTGGTGGAAAATTGATTGTAATGCTTATCAATGTTGTGAATACTTTAATGACACTTTGTTGATTAGCAATATGTACAACCCTTCCATCCTTGATAGAATGCACTACATCAATTTTATAATTGATTTAGATCATTTGAACTAGTCTAAATGGCCCTACTATTGTCATCATGTTGTTTGATTCATTTTGAAAAATATCCTTTTGATCAATTTATTCTCAAAGACTCTAACACAGTAAGCTTTAGCACTAGCAGAAATGAGAAAATGCACTAAAGACTAGAGAGAACTTAATAACAAGTCAATTAATTCTAGAAGAACAAAAAACTTAAAACTGAACCTTCACATCTAAAGTTCAAACGCATAAAGTTCGAATGAAAAAAAGAACGCATAAGCATTCATACATAAAATCTTATGCTCTAACGAGGAGATTATTTATTTTATAAAGCTCAGATACGTATGCAGTAAAAATCTTATGCTCTAAAATCTTATGTTCTAACTTAAACACAATATGGAGTAAAAAAACATTTCTTGATAAAACTCAGATACCTATGCAGTATTTTGTTGTTTAACTAAATAAGAAAATTATGATTTCTAAAGGAGTTTAACGAGTAAATAATAATTTTTTCTTTCATAGTGATTGAAATTTCACGGTTTGAATGTTTATTCTATATAAATTTATGAATCTTTTATTTCAGAATTGTTTGATTTATTTGTTCAGGGAAACTGCAAAAAGATGCATCCATAATGTGCATGAGTAAAGTTTGATAATGTTTATAGAATTATAAATAGTTGAAACAAATGCAAAAGTGTGCTACGGCTTATGTGGATGCTTGTAGATGGAAAAATTATTTTTGAAAGCAAATGTTTTTTTTTCCCCCATTTGAGGTGGAATTGAATTCCTCTTTTTTGTCGAAAGGAAATTTGTGTAGTTGGATATCAATATTAGCATGCAACTGTATCCAACCCCAAAGCTTGTTTTCTAACTCTAGGCAACCAAGTAAGCCCTAAATAAATTCATAGTAGGCTCGTATTTTGTACCTTGAATATTCCCTAGATATTCTGTGAAAAACAAATGTTATTGTAAGGAACTTGTTGTTCGTAATTCCAAATAAGAACATTTAGAATAAGACAGTGATTGAACAAATTAAGTGGAATTTTAAAATTTTGAAGATCCATACGAGAGAAATTGAAGAGATTGAAAACACTAAAGTACACATCTGAGAATATGTTCTTTTTCTTGAATTATTGTTTATATTTTTTCGCATTAATTCTATACATTGTTTATCACTCCCGTGAAAGTATATATTTTTGTTGAGTATAGAATTAAAACAGTCAAGCTTAAATGAAGTGAAATAACAAGCAACCCAATCCGTTTAAGGGCCGTAATATATGATCTACAAAATAATTCATTTCAAAACTTTAAATGCTTTGCAATCACCCATAGATGGGAAAAGTAAAAAATAATATGTGCAATGAAAATAAATTAAGTTGTCAATCATATAATGAAAATTCCTTTGCGATAATTCCTCAAGGATTTTCTTGCTAATCTATCTACTACTAGAGGCATGTTCACGCCGAATTTGTAGATTTTTTGATATATGTACTTGTAAGCTTTTAGTACTTTATTCCGAGCTACAAATTTTTTGAAGTCTTCCTTCACATAAAAGTAAAACAATCTTTGACTTGACATCCATATATATCATCTGTTCAGTTTCATCAAAGCAAACTGGACAACGTCCTTATTCAGATTTGATCTTGTGGCATTGTTGGCAGGAGGATAAGGCTAGTCATTGTAATCAATGGAGCTTCTGCTATCACTATTCTTCTCTATGTAGATAGAGTGGGTAAAACAAAGCTGATGAAACAGGTGCAGGGGATGTGGATGGTGCTGGTTGTGAGAATAGCAGAGAAGCATGGGAAGAGACTGCTAACAAAGAGTTTGAGGAGGATTTTAAGCCATAATTGACACAATGCAAAGTGCATTTAGAAGAAATGAGGAATCACCTCTCATAAATCTGTCATCAAGACCAGATTCTTGTTAGATAAATATTTGGAATTTTATTTTAACATGTAAAATTCAAAATTGAAGATTTCAATTTGATTAAATTTTCAATTGGATGGTCAGATCTTTTCTGGGCAAAATTTCAAGTCCTTTTTTGTAGTTGTAAGGATTCCTTTAACACAGATTAATTTTTAATAGGAAAGCTATCATGTGCATGTTTTTATTATTCTTCTATGAGATTATCTTTACTATTCTTTGGGATGGCACTTAAAAGGTATGTTTTCCAGGGTTTCATTTGGACACAGATGAGGCTGACAACCTCCTTCCTGGGTTTCTTAATTCAATAGTAGGAATTAAGCAAGGAGAAACAAAATCATTTCATCTTCAGTTTCCAGAATCATGGGAACAAGTAAATCTCCGAGGCGTTCAGGCTCAATTTACTGTGAGTTTCATTTTACACTTGCTTTCTGAAGCCAAATGTATTATTTTTTCTCTTGATCTAAAATGTAGTCGCATTTCCTTCTGATGTAGGACGGATTGGTGTCCTAAGTTCATTAATAATCCATACCTAGGATAAAGAAGCACAAAAAAGAACAAATGTCACAATTTGCGGTTTTCAAAGTTTTATTTGAGCAAAGATCAATCTTTTATGTTGCTAAATCTTAAATACCACAAAAAATCTGAGAATGACAAAATTTTTGGAGTTATTAAGATTCACATCATAATAAGAAAAATCGGAATATATAAATTTGACAAAATCACAATCATGCACAGAAATTAATTATGGAATATTTTGGAAGAAAGAACTATGATAAGTATCGCCAATTGGAAGATTCATGTCTCGTGTGGGTTCAAGAAAAATCATCCCCCAAAAGTTTCTTAAACTTATAAAATGCTCAAAGAATTCACACTCATTAACATATTAGAGTTGAGAGTAAGCTAAAATGTTATTCAAACATATTGATAAATTTGCATGCCTCAATGGTCATATTTATATCCTAAATGACCCAAAATTTGTTACTTATTGGAACCCCCCAATAGTTGGTCCAATACTGTTACTTTCACTTCAATGCACTCAAATTCTCAATTCAGCTTCTGCAAGTTTATAATAATTCCTGGCCTCAATTGTAGTGTAAAACTCGAGGATTGGAGGAACAAGTTAGCTACATTCCACATCATTGAATACATCTATAGTTATATAGCTAATTGAATTGAGAAATTGATGTTTGGTGGTGGTTCTTGGCACGAGAAAACAAATATGTTCCGCAGTGTGATGACACACATGTTTATCACGCAAGCATACTTGTTGATCAAGCAGTATAATAGATTTGAGACCAAGTATCGATCCCACGAGGAATGAGTAAATCTTCAAATAGTTCAACTACTAGTTTACTAAGTCTAAGTTTAGTGCAAAGTGTTGATTGTTTTCAAATGATTTTTCTAAAAATTCCTAATTTACTAAAGTTAAAACTTGTGATTTTTTGGTTTTTGCTAATGCGAGAAAGTCTTCCAAAAATTATTGTTTATCTACCAAAATTTGTTCCTAAAGATATTGGCAACCGTGGAAAATTACTCCTTATTCTATTCCGAGCCATATGAAGCATTGGAGTAACATATTATTGTTAAATCCTTAATCTTGTAAAGGCTCTCCAAATTCTACATTCCCTATGTGATTATAATCTCCTAATAACAATATTTCTATTCCACTAAATAACTGTGTTAACCTAATTTTTCTTCTGGTACATGCCAATAGTTTTAGATAACAATCAATTTTTACTTTTCTAGTAGCTTGCAAAAAAGTAAATGAAGTCCTAAAGGTCAATACATCAACATATTGAACAATCATTTCAGAAAATTCCCATGGAATAAAGAAAAATTTCATAATACCAAGGAAGTAAGAAAACTAATTCCTAAACATTTGTATAAAAAACACAATGGATTTTATTGAAAGTAAAAGCAAAAGTTTATAAAGAGAAAGAAAAGATTACATTCGGTTGAATCTTCTTTTCGCTCCAAGATGATCCTCCCTTGTACAATGCACTTTCTTCTTGATTCACTTCTACCACTTACACAGATGATTCTCACAATCTCACACACACCCTAAGCACATACACTCACTTGTCTTTCCACAAAGAACTTCTTTTTCTTCTTTGTCTGAACCCATTTCCATGCCTCAAATCGGAGCATTTTAAGCATTTAACTCGTCTGAACTGTCAACAAACTGCAATAAACCACCATAAGTTGTTAAGTAGCGTCCAAGCACTAGCCGAGTAACACCGGGGGTGCAGCGGTGCTGGGTTTGGGTGCCACGTTTTGTGGCTCCGATTCGTCACTCTAGGTCTTTGCGGCAGCACTGGTGCTTGGTGCTGTGGCGCTTGGACTCTGGCATTGCAATGTCCTGCTCTATGTATTTCTTGGATGGAAGAGACTTTGGGTGCTGGGGCACTTCGTCTAGGCGCTAGTCCATAATTCCCCCAATTTCTTTCAAATTCTTCTTTCATTACAAATAAAAATATAGAAATGATACAAAACATGTACTAAACACAATACAATAGTGCAACACATTTTATAGACATCATAATGCATAATCTATGCTTCAATTGTTTGCTGTGATCAATAAATAATAAAGCCATATTATGAAAAAAAATCAGTTGAACTCAATGGAAAAAAAATCAGTTGAACTCAATGGAAATAATAGTAACAAAATCAATTGCAATAACAGTGTATTTCTAAATCATTGGATGGTCAAAGCTTAAGATTGATTGTGTGCTAAAACATAGAATTGGATGCATGTTAAATAAGTATTCCAAACTTAGAAGTGAAATATATTGCACTATAAATAAAATCTATTTTGGTAACCTAAATGTTAGACAGCACATCTTAATCTCATCGATATCAATATCATTTACATGATTACTTCAAAAAATACAACACCAACACTCATTATATTTATCCCAATCCTGTTGCTTACTTCTTATGCTTCAGACTAGTATGCACTTTAAAATTAGAATTAGCTCTTCCTAGCTTCGGAAAAATTGGCTTTGATGATTTAAGGATTTTATATCAATCAAGTAGGTTTAGACATCGCTCCTGTCTTTCTTGCAACATAATTCATGAAGCATTGCTAATGAGATTGTTACATTATTTCTAGTCTTTCTTACCTTATCTTGGATATCCGCTCTCATTAGTTAGCAAAGAGTTGAATTTTGATTCATGACACAAAGCAATTGCAAACTATTATGTTGAAAATTACCCTGAAGCATTTAAATGTTTGTTAAAAATATCCTATGAGGCTTTATTATAATTATAAATTAGCTATTAATATTGCACATAATTTCAAGCGACATGAACAAACAATTTATTTAGAAGTAGCATGCATTTTATAAAGAAGCTAGACAGTAATCTAACTTGTACAATGTGTGCGCCATTGATGGACAACTTGCATTCATTATCACTAAAGAATTAATAGAAATAGTATTTTGATAACTGACATGCAAGCTTGGAATATATATTATCCTTTAATTTGCTTTAGCGGAGTATGAAAAAGTTAATCTCCATCAATTTCACAGGTACAAATGTTCCATCTGGCTCGGTAGTCCTTTTTCTTATTTACTTTATGCCAACTTAGTAATTCGTGGGATTATTATTCTTATCTCATCATTCCATGGATTATTGTAATCATTTTGTAATTTTTTTTTTCTACTCATCAATTTGTGGACTATTTTAATTATTTTATTATTATCATTTGTCAGAATAGAATCCAAGATATTTCTTATTGATACAAGGGGGGTATAAGTACTCATTACAGGATATACTTGTAAGGAAACAAATAAAATCAGAATAAAGGAATAAAGGAAAGAAAATAAAAGCAAATAATAGTAATTAAAATAGAATTCTGTATTAATATGTATTTTAATTGTCTAATACTCCCCATAAGTTAAAGCATAGATGTCAGTTTTGTTCAACTTAGATTTGAACTCATCGAACGATGACCGAGAAAGTTCTTTTGTGAGAATATCTCTCAGCTAGCTACTTGATGACACAAACGAAACACAAATTTTTTCGAACACAAGTTTTTTCTTAATGAAGTGATGGTCAATCATAACATGCTTGGTATCATCATGTTGGAAGGGTTATGTGCAATGCTTATGATACTTTTGTTATCACATAACAATTGTAGGGGAGCAGAGACTATCATTTGTAGTTCGTGGAGCATGATGTGTAACCAGATAACTTCGCAAATTACCAGGGACATTGATCAAAATTGTTTCTTACTTTTCCACATGTCCAGGTTTTCCCACACTAATGAACAGTACCCTAAGGCAAATCGCCAATTATGGACGAACCCAACCCAATCTGCGTCTGTGTAAATTGCAATAGAATGAGAGGACTGGCTGGAAAAAAAAAAACTGAGCCTGGTGTTTCTTTTAAATAGTAGAGAATCCAGTGGACAGCTTGGAGGTAGTGCTCATAGTGATCATGCATGAATTGACTGTTATCCCAACTATATAGCATATGTCGGGGCGTGTATGGGCAAGGTAGATGAGTTTCCCTATAAGACGTTGATAGTCAGTTTTGTTTACCGGAATTACATTTGGAACATCAAATAGTTTTTCATTTGGATCCGTCGGGACAGCCACTGGTTTGCACAGGAGAAGATTATTATTTGTCAAAAGGTCATTCACATATTTTCGTTTAGACACACAAATACCTTGAGATGATTGGACAACTTCCATGCCTAAAAAGTATCTGAGAGATCCTATCCTTCATTTCAAAGGAAGCAGCAAGCATGTATTTGGGAGACTCCAATGCTGGTAGATTGCCACCTGTGAGAACAATATCGTCAATATAGACAATAAGGATAACTACATGGCCTCTAAAGGAATGCTGGAAGAAGAGAGTGCGGTCCTATTAAGCCATCCCCAACCATGCCCGTGGTGATTGCTTCAATCCATAGAAGGATTTTCTCAAGCTTGAAGAAAAATCAAAAGTGATGGTTTAGCTTTATGCTGCTGACTTGTTCAATAAAGAATCAACCCAAACAGTAGAGCCTTATGGGCCACCTTAACTATTTTCTTATCAAGAATTTTATGAAAATAGATGTAACGATGTTATCTAAGTAAAATCTTGTCTGCATTCAACTAACATGAGAGGTGTTAAAGGTTGCATTTAGTAGCCTTCAATAAAACCAAATATAATTAAGGTGGAACCATGAATATTTGGATGATAATTTTGTATTATATGAGTTGAAAAGGATGCCAAACAAAGGGAAGTTTCTCTTTTACTATAAATTTTTTTTTTTCAATGAAATGTTTATCTTTTAATTTTTATTATTTATTGACCATTGTGGTAACTTATGAAGCGCTAAATCTAATATAAGACGCGGACACAAGAATATGATATAACCATAAAAAATAGGACACAATATGTCATGCTCTTAATGTTTTATTGTTTAATTATTAAAATGAAATGCCTAATCAAAACGCATGTATGTCAATGCTTAATTTAATGAATAAAGAAATAAACAAACACTCACACACACAATGCAAAATAATATCTCATGTACATGTAAGAGCTTGGATTAACAAAACATAACCTAATGTTGGTCTAGTGACCATTATATTTCAATATTTCATCAAGTGTATGTAGTCTCTTTTAACACATCAACATCAACATTAATCTGGACATGATGTTAATATTGCATTGTCTAAAAAATTTATTAACTCAACAAAATATTATATAATCTTTAAAACGACCATACAAAGTATGAACATATTGATGCGTCACTAATTGAACCTAACAAATCTAACCCTGGGGCATCCATTGTTTGTCCAACTTTAACCTAAAATTAAATAAATCAAGAATAACTTCAGCATGTCTTTTTGCGTCAACACATGCCCTGGGCGTGCTGCAGGTGTGTTGTATCATTCTCTAGAGTAATGTTATTTGGGATATGAACTAAGAGCTAAGAAATTCATTATGTCTTAGTGATATCGGACAAAAGGGGGTTGGAGAATATTCAATAAGAAAAACTAAAAAAGCAATCCAAGGCAAGAACAAAAATACAATAAGAACAAAGGCGAGATGCACCAATCAAATAAAGATACAAGAGTTTCATACTTGCAACCGATCCAGATACAAAATTCACCACTTGAAGGATTGATGAAGGAATGAGACCCGAGATATCACCACCAACACCGTGGATAGAAACTTGTTCCCATCCTGGAACTATAAAGGGAGCAAAGACCCTCACAAATTTCAAATGACAAAAAAACATCCCCACAATAAAAGACCATATATTTATAATCAACAAAGGATCCAAACCTAATAAAAGAAAACAGATAAAATACCCTTTTTGCTATTAGGAGTGGGCGGCAACTCTAACCCTAGAGAGAGAGCCGACTGAGCCGACTGACCCTCCACTCTTGGACCGAACCTATATGGGGGGTCGTTCTTGCCCCACGTAAATTTATCAAGGTCGGTGGAGCTTCAACTTTATCTTTTGAAGTTTTTGACTCATGATATGATTTCAAGTTGGCTATGTTGAAGGTAGTGGAGCTGCTGTAACCTCTCGGGATTAGGGGGCCTTCGATTTTCGGCATTGGTCTCCTCTGTGGCATAGTTATGGTTTAAGTTTGGGATGTGAGAGAGGGTGTATGGGACTGATTTAGGTGCAGAAAAAATATTTAAGGTTGCTGATTTTGAAAATCAACAATGGGGAATTTGGGTTAGTTCATGATTTGACTATGGTTGGTGGGTTTAGAGGTGAAAGAGTGGGGTGCAAAAAAATATTTGGGATGCTAATTTTGAAAATTAGCATGGGGGAATCAGGGTTTGGTCAAGATTTGGCTATAATTTGGTGGGTTTTGGTAACCCTAGGAGAGAACTAGGGTTATGCTGACTCTTATATGAAATGATACCAGAGAAGAAAGGGGTTAGAGAAGATTTCAACAAGAACAACTAAGAAATCAATTCGAGACGGGAACAAAAAAAAAAACCCAGAACAAATATGATATGCACTAATCAAATAAAGGATACAACCTACAAGAGTTTCCTGCTTTTGCAATCAATCGAGATACAACAATCACCATCGAAATTATTGACGAATGAAGGAGACCCGAGATGTCACCACCAACAATGGAGAGATAAAGCCGCTACCACCCAACGACTTGGATATAGAATTTTTGCCATCCGGGAACCATAAAGGGAGCAAAGGATCTAACATGATATTGGGATTGAACAAAAAAAAAACCTAATACAACAAATAACCGCATATTTATAATCAACAAAGGATTTAAACGTAATAAAATAAATTGACTAAAATACCCTTGATGCTAGCCCTAGAGAGAGAGCCGACCGACCCTCCCACACTTGAATTGACGCTCCGGGGGCCCTCCCTGCCAGCATTACTAAGAGCTTGCAAAATAGTGGTCTGAAACATTTCAATCCAATTTAGTGTTTGTTTATTGAACATTTATATATATATCAATCTTCCAAGGAAATTTCTAGAGTTTTATTTACATTAATCATCTCTTCTTTTGGTCAATGGCAATAGCACTCAACCATGCCTGTTTTGCATGACAACTATTATAACATAGTTTTCATCCGCTTTGTAATGAAATAAGGAAAATCACTTGGCAGTGTAGCACTTGGTTGACCTTTTCAGTTTTTATCTCTTTTTTTTGGTGCAATTATTTACATTTAATCAATGAATAATAGTCCATGGATTGATTAGTTTGTCAACCTTTTCAAATTAATAGGTCGAGTGCAAAGAACTCTTTTATAGAGATCTGCCTATATTGGATGACTCTCTTGCAGAACATCTCCTTCCTGGGTGCAGTAGTTTGGATCAGGTCCTTCTAAACGCATTTGTTTTTAACTAAGTGTCAAAATAATCCTTTGACTATTTACATGGGGTCATTTTTCTCCGAGTCTATTAAAGTGCCCAATTGGTCCTCATACTCTTTTAATTGGGCTGAAAATATCCCTAGAAATGACCATTTTAGTTCCCATTAAAATAGTCTATGGACCAAATTGACACTTTTACAGATTCTGGGACTAAAATAGCTCCCTGCAAAGATTCAAGTGACTATTTTGACATTTTTCTCGTTTTTAATTTTGTATGTGTAGAGTTGCATTCATGCTGCCAAATTTGGCGCTGAAGCAATGCAGCATGTATTGATGCATATAAATCTGTTTATGTTTTGATATTTAACTGTTTATTTCTTTCTGATGCAATGCCTAGGTGAGAGAATCAATACTACAAAGATGCGAAGAACTAGAACAAATTGCAATCGAACAAGCAACTGATAATGCAATTCTAGAACAACTGTCTAAGGTATCCGACAGCTTTTATTTTTTTCAGCTACACCCTTTCTTCTAGTTAGCTTTTCCCATTTTATTGTTCAAGATTTTCTTTAAATTGTATTTATTTACGTGATATTGTCAGATTGTTGAAGTAGATATACCTCGGTCATTATTTGAAGAGCAAGGCAGAGAAATTTATGGAGCCAGACTACTGCAATTTCAGGTAATGGATATACTCTATTATGTATTTTGAAATTAATTTTCTAATTTCTTTCTTACGGGCAGGCTGGAGGAAAGGTTACCGAACAACAGCTGGCTTCTCTTTCAAGTGAAAAGGTAGTCAACGAGTACCTTGAGAACCAGAAGGAGAATATAACATGTATACTAAAACAGATGCTGGCGGTTGGTGAAATTTTTCAATATGAAAATCTGCAGGTATAAATGTGTTTGTCCAAATGGTAACTCCATATTTGATAAGCTGTATGCATCATGTATTAAAAAAAAGGAAGATTTACATACATACTATTCCATTTCTATTTATTTGCATATCCAACATCTAAAATTCAATTTTTACATACATGCCACCTTACCTATACATGAAAAGGTGTATTTCAATTTGAAAAGCTAAAATATTGATATTTTTAATGTGATATGAAAGTTTTGGATGTTATGAATCTAAGAAGTAAAGTTTAGCAGTTAGATATGTAATTACATAGGAATCGGGTGTTATGTCTGTAAATGTTTTTACAAGACCTGCTGTATCATTGCATTCAAGAATGAATTTTAGAAAATGTTTTTTGATTCGAGGTAGAAACAATATAAAACTAAATCTGATGCTTACCCTTGAAACTGCTGCAGTACTCAACAGACGAACTAGTCAAAGAGGTCCAGAATTCCGTGGAAGAGTTCAAGCGCCATAATCAAGAGTACGATGAAGAACGCGTCAGACAGCAGGTACTTATGTGCATCTATTAATAATCGTGCATGTTAATTTTATTTTAGATTGGTTAGGTTCTTCATGTTATAATTTTTGTGGTAGGATGACTTTTCTAGGAAGTATGGATTGAAAAGATTTAAAATTGTATGTACATATCTAGCTTTCCTCCCCCACTCTTCTCTCTTTATCTTTGACACACACATATACATGTGCGAACACAACCAAAACTTATTTAGACGTTATAGATACACACATAGATAATGATCCGCGGCGATGCTACCTTTAAGTGATTTTTTATGGTTCCTCTTCATATTTCATGATTTTAGTGAAAGGTTTCATTTATCGAAATAAAATTTCAGGCACTTCTATTAAATTCATTCCCAACTAAAAGAAAAAACAATTTTTTGACTTATTATGCAGGTGCAGGATGTCCTTGAGGGAGCGAAAGTTCTTGAATGGTTGAGAGAGAACTCTGATATCCAGTATGCTTTCAGATGAGAGCAAATCAGAGCGTCTCTGTGAAGGTCACCGTATGTAGATTTTAATTCTCCCTTCACTGGACTTTTGGTGGTGATTTTGGTTCTTTTCCCATTTAGATTGCCATGAATGGTGATCTTCTGTTTATTATGTGTTCTGGCAGTAATTTATTATATTATACAATTTATCCCCTTATGTTTCTTGTTCACTCTCATCTGAAAGAAAGAAAATTATGTAGGATATCAGAATAACCAAAACCGATGCATAACAACAGAGACAAATACAACAAAACACAAAGCTGGAAGTGGTTTGATCGAATCATAACTTTAAACTACAATGAGTCTCAAGAAGATAAACTACTCTGAAAGAGAAAAAAATTTATATAGGATTATCTTCACCAAAAATTAATCAGCATGGATCCCAAAAATCTTGAATTTGCTTTGAGATAACTGCAACATACAATAATTAAAATTACGCATTTCAAAGTTAATTCAAGGGTTTGAGACTTATTCTTACCAAAATATTCTGTTTTTTTTTTCCAATCAGAAATAGATTATAGAACAAAATGACCTTTCCTTATATTTGAAAATATTCAACCTAATACCTCATTATATCTGCCAACAGATTAAGAACGAGAAAAATCTCAAGCTAATACTACCTGATGTCACTTGCAAGATCATTTGCTTTCCATTTTTTCACCTCTTCTTCTTTTCGCATAGAAAAAATGACTATTTATAGATTAGTTCTCTACTCAAAAGACTTTGCTCCAATTAAATAGCCAACCTTTTAATAGCTCTAATCATCAAAGTGTCAGCTGTAAACAATTATAATTGATTCATCTTGAACCTAAATCCTTCAATTCTCCATTTGGCCTTCAAGACTAAATTTTGCTCTTTGCTAATTTAGCGACCTTGAATGTTATTCACGCCAATTAGATTTATATAGTGCATGATTTTTTTAGTTGATATGCGGCTCAGAGACAAATTGCTCAGGTGGATGAGTGGATTCACACTTAAGAGTCAAAATGTGAAGAAAATATGTTTGTGAAAAGTTGGAGTAGCTCCAACGACAGAAAAGATCAGAGGAAGTTGCCTTAGAGGGTTTGGTCACGTTAACGTCGACCATCTGATGACCTTGGTAGGAGAGTAGTTGATTTAAATTAAACTTATGTTAAGATAGGTAGAGGTACACCTAGAAAGACTTGGGCATGTATAAAAATATGTTCTATATTTATTAGAATTTAATGAAAATATGACATTCAATCCGACACAATAGAGAAAATTGATTCATGTAGCCAACCCCACTTATTGGGACAAAGGCTTGTTGTTGTTGTAATATTTTTTTAGTTGATGTAACATATTTGATCATATCTATGGGATTATTATCTTTTGGTTTCTTTGCAACAAGTGCTTTGGAGAGTTATAGAAAAAAAAGTCAGTGGTATAAGATGGAATGTTCATAGCTTTTGCACCCCTCTTTCTAAATATATTAAAACACTATTAATATAAAATTTTCGTGAAGAACAATGCAGCTTTTTTGTCTATTTCTTGTTGTCTCCATCTCTGAATTTTTTATAGCTAGTTTAAGTCCCTTAGTTTCAACTTCGAACTTTGAAAGAGTCATAACATCAGCAATTTTCCTGTTAGCCCTTTCCAATTGACAGCATATCATCAATATGAAATAAAAGATAATAAAAATTCTCAATTCTTGTCTATTATCATACACACTACTGTCAAATTTGCTTCTATTAAAACCAAAGTTCCTCACATTTTCAGCAAAATGTTCATACCAAGGACTTCGCTGTAAAGCATAAAGTGACTTTTTGAACAAACAAATCTCGTCTCTAGCCTTCACTGTCTTGAAGCCCTCTTTGCAGTCCCATGTAGAAATGTTGTATTATCATCAAGTTGTCCAACTCCATATTGTGCTTAATAACTAAAGGAAGAATTAAAAGAATTGAGCAATCCTTTACAGCCAGAAAAAAATTTTCATTGACATCAGTCAATTTCTTCTGTGTGAATCCTTCAGTTTCTTATGTTGGAAAATGCTTTTGCTGCCCAATATCTTCTGCTCCATAGGCTTACTAGTGTAGTTTTTAAGAGGAGAAAACTAATTATTCCTCTTTAATTTCATCGAAAATGATTATAAGATAAATAGAGGGGATGGTTCCGACATTAGAAAATTAATAAAATTAGTCATAACTCCGAATGATAGAAGAAGGTAATATGAATTATATGATATGAACCAAGATGATTTTTCACATAAATTAGGGCAAAACAAAACATTTTATCGTAAGAACTCCGAACAACACACTCAATGTATAATAGATAAGAACCTACAATTCGGGAGGTAGGCAAACTCTCCCAAACCCTAATCCTAGCACCAACAATTCAAGAGGTAGGCAATCTCTCCCAAAACCCTAATCCTAATACTCATGACCACAATCTCATGCATAACCCTAACCTTAAACATATTAGTCATAGTTATACCACACATTAATTAGTATAAAATTACTAAATTGCCTTTAGTCGCCTGCATAATAATACTACCCTCCCAAAGAAACACTGTGTCCTTAAGCTTAAAAAAAATTGTCACTGGATCACGTACTATGGCTCTCATGTGGCGTCATCATTTTACAATTCTGTTCTTTTAATCAGAAATTCATAGTGACACTCATGAGTTTGAAATGTTGTCTTGTGCACATTTTTCATACCCTGACTTTTGGTCAATCTTGGAGAATACTGCAGCCCTTAAAAACTCTTCTAGTAGCTCATCGATTGTTGGAATCTCAGTCAACATCTTATATGCGTCTCTTTCATGCTTTGTAACTCGATCCAAAATCCCAACCTTGCATCTTAAATTAACCTCCCCATGATCTTGAGCTTTATCGCAGTCTTGCAGAAATTAGGGTTAACGTAAAGCACCATCATCTTGTCTCTCAGCTTTAAAATCGGTCCCTTACACTCTCTTCTATTCTTCTCCACATATCTCATTCTCATCATAACTTCTAAATCACCTTCCAACCGAAAGGCTGCAACAACAAAAGGCACTAGCCTAGTTGAATCTAGCCCTCAGTCGGGGTCCCACCAATCATAGTTCCCTATTTTAGGACTTCGAATGATCTTCTCTAGCCTCATATCGTATGTTGTCCCATTTTTCCTAGTTCCCTGTTCCAAGCCTTCAAACGATCTTCCCCTGCACAGAATTGCCCAGAATTGCACGCCATCCTATTTCGCCTGCAGCTGCTCATTCCAAACCTCCCAATGTTGGGCAATTCCCTCTAGATGTTTTTCGATTGAATATGCTCTCGACTCCTTCATTGAATCTCACTTACTTCCACTCGTTCATTCGCTTGGATGTTCTTATATTTCATTTAAGTGCTTCTGCTTAAAACTGCTCCCAATTCCTTCGCTCAATCATATGGCTCTCGATCAGTCTAGAACAATGACGTTGTCGTAATTCTACATTTTTTTAGATTGTTTCCACTCACGTCGACTCTAGATGGCGTCACTCTATCCTATGGCAGACTTCGTCGGGTTTATGTGAAGCACGAAGACCTTCATCATTTCGTCTAAGGTTATGAGTCTCCCTTCCATGAATAAGACCCATCCCTGCATGGACGAGAATCACTCTACCATTTTCAATCTGATTTAGCTCACTTCTCCCTCTAATTTCTCCTTCAGAGCCTCTACTTTTTGGGTTGCTATACTTCCAAGATTTTTTTTTATTAGTAAGGTAGAACTCTATAATTCACAATATCGACGTTGGTTTCCCAGCTAGCTATAATCGGGAATGTGCGACAAGTTTAGGTCACATTGTACTTCATAAAGAAATTAAAGCGTGATTGTATCGCATTACGAAGGCACCCAAATTGCTTCCCATCTAGCTCAATTGTGACAGTATCACATCATGAAGGTGTCACCTTTACGTTGCGACCCCATACGTTGCCTCCTAGGTTGAAACGTGACTGCTTCACATGTTTTCTTGTACGTCGTGATCCCTTCTTTGCTTCCTAGTCGAATCGAGCAACTGTATCACCCTTTGCATAGCGTTCCCTTCATTGGCCTCACAACTATCTCGGATCGTGATTGCTTTGCAGGTAGGCATGACGCTTTGAACCCTAAGTATCGACAATTTCTGCAAGGATGCGAAGGTGCGGCTGTGGCCAAATATTTTAATATCAATTTGATACAAACCAAAATAATTTTTTCAACAAAATTAGGGCAAAAAAAATATTTTACTGCAAGAACTCCAAAAAACACATTCAAATGCATAAAAGCTAAACACATATAATTCGAGCGGTAGACGATCTCCTAATACCCTAACCCTAGTGAAATTAGCCCTATTTATACCCCACTATAATTAATATATAATTACTAAATTGCCCTTGAGCGCGAATATAACATTATAATACACCAATAATTCTAAATTCTAGAAATAGAAAATACTAATAATATAGTATAATGAAATAAAATCTTCTTAAAAAGCTAACACTCTCCTTAATTTTAAGCATAGTTATCTACCATACCCAACTTCTTTACAAGGAGCTCAAAATTAGTTCTGAACAATTTTTTTGGTTAAGATATCAGCTATTTATTGAGCAATAGAGAGATAAATGACATGCAAATAGCTCCACAATCAATCTTCTCTTTCATGAAGTGTCTGTCAATATCCACATACTTTGTATAATCATGTTGCATTGTATTTTTTGTAATGCTTGTGGTTTTTTTATTGTCACAGTATACCTTCGTTGGCATGCTTATCAAGATCTACACCTCTTCAAGAAATCTATTCAATCGTAAAATCTCACATACTCCATTAGTGATAGCCCTATATTATGTTTAAGCACTACTCCTTGCAACCACATTTTGTTTCTTACTTCATCATATAACCAAGTTTCCCCACACATAGGTGTTGTATCCATAAGTTGATCTCCTATCAGAAGCTGAGCTTGCAAAATCTACATCAGTGTACGCATCTATGCTTGTTTGTGTGGTCCACTGAAAGAGTACGCCTTTTCCCGGTGTACCTTTTAGATATTTAAGAATTTTGCTGACTGCTTCAAGGCGTTTCTAATAGGGTGAAGGCATAAACCGACCTTCCGAACTCACAACAAAAGTAATATCTATTCGTGTATGTGATAAGTATGTCAACTTCCTAACCAATTTTTGATACCTAACTATATTCATTGGAAC